AGATGGGGTAGTTGGGGGGTAATGTCATCTACACAAATAGTTTATTTCTTGTAGAAGCTGCAGCTTTCGACATACTGTCATTCAATGAAGATTACGTCAAAATGTGGCTATTTTCGTGTGAAGAACAGTACTATTTTACATCAGTACATGGGAATCACCTATAAATGCCAACAGAACGTAAAACCAATGTGTAAACGAACGGCTACGGAACTGCAATCCAACATAACCGACTAACATGGACGAAAATGACCTTTGAGCGTCTCACTCCATCAGTGACCTTGAGCATGCGGGATAATTTCAACCAGAAACACTAACTTAATTAAATGTTGAATACGTTTGAACCTGCAAGGTCATACAGACATTTGACCTACAGTTGGCGTGTGCACCGATTCAAGGTGTGTTTCGTTAGCCATTTGTGCCGCTATCCTCTGTCTCGTAACTCAGTAGTTTCTGGTATAACATCCCGAAGTCTCACATTATAAACTTAGTAAAACTATAATACACAAGTTCTAAAGTGGTTTAGAAACATCGAGAACTGTCCTTATAACGAATCTAGCTCGTAATCTTTATATCCAAATAGAGAATGCACTTCACAGTTGGCAAAATCTTCAGGTGTACTATAGATACTCTACGGGGATTAGAAACAGAAATTCTGGATATACGTCTGGGTGTGTGAAATGTTTCCCTGTAGTGCTACCGAAGATTTTTTTAGCTTCAGCAGTGCACATTGTTGCCCAATGAGGAAAACGTTGGATATGTAGGCAATCTTTAATTTACGAGATTTAGGCAACATATGGGTTGACGTTGTGTCCATTTTTCACCCTTTTGCCCACTTATTTGCATTAGTGTTGTATTGTTCCCATTTTTGTCCATAGGTGACCAGTGGATTCAATAATTGATGGCAGATAAGCCTATTTACTTCAGTCATGTATGATTTAGGCTCCAGTGATCTTTTCGGAACACAATTGACATTTCGGAACTTTTCTTTGAACCTTTAGAATTTCTGGATTTTTCACTCTTTGTTTGGAATAGTAAGAAAGTGAAGTCAACTGTAGCAAATTTGTAAATACGAACGAAGTTTTTATGCATGAACTCTCATCTGCTGTGATAGGCTCTAACTGGATAAGACCTGATGAACGTCTGGGAACTGAAATACTTTTAGTAGCTTCAAAGTCCAAGTATATACACATTCCTATAGTGAAAGAAATGACAAAACAGTTTTAGCAAAACTTTTTCTAATGGCATTGTACTCAGGATTTTTTCACTATATTTTGCACAAACCAGTAGGCACACTTTGGATCATAGCGAATTCCCTCAACACTTCCGAGATAATTTCTGAGTTCGAGGCAATTAATTGTTAGCACTAAGGAAATGATGCTTCAGTAAAATTTATGGTAAAAGACATCATTTTTCTATTTCAAGTGAACCTGTTGTGATTGTCCTTTGTTTATAATAGCTTATACACTCTGCTTTTTTAATTAGTCGTTCTTCAGCTCATCAAATCACTTTCGTACTGAGATTATTGTTGTCTTTTTGAAGCTGGAGTGGAGATTTTTCAGATTGCCTTTTAAACAGCCAATAGGTCCTAGGTTTAAATACCACCCAACTTCACTCTGAGCGACTGGTAAGCATCACTAACCGTCACATACTAATTTCCACTCATTGCCTGATACATAAAAGTCTATTGCGGCTAACTGAGCTTTTTTCAGGGGTCATTCTTTTTTGGGAGTTTTCTCAATAGATTACCATTTTGCTTTATGCTGCCTTCCTCCTAGTCCTTAAGGTGAAAAAAAAATTAAAACCAGATTACAATGAAAAGATGCCATTAGTCAATAGAAAAGGTTATCTAGCAACAGTATAACCTATCTACCTAATTTATGTGGTGTAGTGTATTTTGGAGAACACATAACTCTGCAGGTGGATTGTTATAATATACCTGCAGTAGAAGTGATTACGACTTTCAAAGTCCGTTTGTAACCTTATCATTTGTTGTAAGTAGCGCGAATTCTGTCATTTTTCTGTTTTTAAACTAACTTAACCCCTACAACTACGTACACACGAATATCGGCTATCAGTCAGCAACTCTTCCATAATCTTTTAGTTGATTTTCCCACTAGTCTATTTAGTGTGAAAGATAAGAAGAACGTGTATTCGAGCTTAATACCTTCAAGTATACATGTATATAAAATTATTTTCTTACTTGTCTCAGATGCATTCTATGATATATCCACTAATATATTGGTATGACTATGTGTCCAAAAATGCTTCATTATAATTTCTTAATGTCATGTGCAGTGAATTTTTAAAATTAAAAATTGTTAACTCTGAAAGAGTTGAACCGCCCATTGTTGCTTATTTTATTGTGTTATTGTAAGTTAGTTAATTACAGAGACCGTTTATAGGCACTCTCAAAGAATCCTTCGTATTAAGAATAAGTGGGACGAGAATGTAGGCGAAATTATCAAAAAATCTTAATGAATTCAATTAGGCCAAGATGTATAAACTAAGGGTCTTACAAAGTAATATATATTTTTAAATGTAAATATTCCTGTGAATAATTCCTTAACGATTTTTGTCCCAGAGAAACCTACTTTTCCAAGCGTGAATATCATGTTACTGCTTCTGAAATATGATTTTTATTGTGAGTAGAATATTAGTAGTGCTTGCACACTCAATGAAATTCCCTTAGATTCTGTCTTCATGATCATTAATATCATATAATGTTCTATAGTATTCCTTAGTTTGTCTGATATGACAAATGTTTTTTTATACTAATAAGGTGAGCAATACTGAGGTTAGGCGTCGAGTGCTAGGTAAGGAGGGGAAATCAATCGACATTGCTGTGAAGTTGCATCGATTGAGATGGTTAGGACATGTGCTACGTATGCCTAGTCATCGCCTTCCTCGACGGGCAATGTTAGCTGATATAGGGCCAGGCTGGAAAAGAGCTAGCGGTGGTCAGACGAAAACATGGCACCAGTCAATGAAATCCACAACAGTTAGCCTAAGCCACGTAGGAAGGTGTAGACTTCCTGGTTGGGGTCCTCGGGACGGTAAAAACCAATGGTTGGAAACAATTGGTGACATGGCTCAAAATCGTTCTCAATGGCTGGCGCAGATGGATCCACTCCTTGTGACTTATGATTTCCAATGAAACTGTTTTGTTCTTCGTTATTACTATTCCTTTGTCTCTCACCTCTGTTTACTGTCAGTATTATGCATTTCTTCTACTTTTGTCCCTTGCGTTGTGTGCTACATGGAGTGTGTTGTCTTGAACTTCCGCACATATGTGCAAAGTTCTATGTCGAATACAGACAGACAGACAGAATGTTTTTTAAGCGTCATGTAATTTATTATCGTAGTGTAACCTATACAATATGCTTATAAATACATGTAGTATTAGCGGTTTCACATAAGAGTCTAAAACAGTTACTTAAATGTTGGTTGAACCTATGTGGATTTTTTTCGACTTGGTGACATGTATATATTTGGGAGACAAAAATTATCTTACGGGAGTTTGAATATCTCCACATCAAAGGTTGACTGGAGAAGGCAGTGTAAGTTTCTGAAATTAATGCGTGGTGGTCTGTAGAGAGTAGCATTCATGTAATGGACTCTTGTAAGTGTCTATGGTTAGTAGCGAGTTCACAGTATTGAAATAATGCGGAAAATTTAAAGTTCAGATGGATAATTTTAATGTTGTTGTGTTCTTTGAGCCGGATAGTTTAATTGCGAAGATTTCGTTCTCCTCCTTCAACTATACAACATCTTCAGCCTAAACTTTAATATGAAGTAAACTTATTTGAATTCTCTCCATGAATGACATAATTGTATCTCTTGACAACTCTTGTTGTTATCGGTCGTTAATTTACATCAGTAATGGTCATTTTACTGACTTGGAATTTGACTTATTCACCATGTGAAATATTGTTTATTAGTTGATAAATTTGATGTTTGTTATCCACTCGTTTGTCTGAGTACTAAGCTTCTGAGGAATTCGTTGTATTTTTAACGTTTCTACTTTTTAAAATTCCCACATTTTCCAAGTCAAACTGGTGTCCATTGTTGTTTAAATGCATTATTATGAAAAAATACATTCGTATCTTTTGATGGCTAGTTAATATTCTTAAGGTAACAGTCGAAGGAGACATATACACATATGTCATTCATGAGAAATTCAAATAAGTTTAGTTCATATTAAAATTTGCACTGAAGATATTGTCTAGAAAAGGGACAAAGAAAGTTTAGCAATTAAACTATCTATATTAAATGAATACACCCACATCTGAATGTTCATAGTTGTTATTTAAATATTTGTATTACCCACCACTGTTTTTCAAACGTAGGATTTCCACTGTGAATAATTGTATCAGTATAAAACACAATGTTTCTCTGAAATTCCATCCACCAATAATTTTTATACCTTACTTTATAAAGATATATTTAGAAGAGCAGTTTAAAAATAAAGGGATTTCTTGCTATCAGTCCAGACAACCGTATAAATTGTAGCTTCTTTTTATGAACTTAGTTTTTTTTGTGAAATATTCATGACTAAATAGGAAATCTTAGAAAAAATTAAATATCATAGTGGAAATTTAATTTAATTTTAGATTTTCCCGTCGATTGATATGACCCGTTGCACAAGAGGTGGCTCTCGTGGCCCAAGTGGTCTACTGGATAACGCTTTGGCGTTTGAAATTATGGGCATCAGGTCCAAGCCTCGGTGGGAACATCATCACTCACTGGGGAATGCAGGTTCGCCCAGCTGATGAGTCCAAAATAGGACGAAATGCTCATCCTGGATTCTACTGCTAGTCACCATCTACCAATTAAATTGTGGAAATTGTTTATCTTTGACGTATGGAAACTGTTAAATTCACAAGTTTAAGTTTTCAAAAAAACAACAACAGCAAACATCAATAGTTTATATAATGTAAACAAGACTGCAGTGACATGAAAGTGTAAATTAATTACTGTATTGTCATTCGTCTGATTAGACTGTAAACCATTGACCTTGAATATTATATCTCGGACATTTATACACATCTGAATATAACAATTTATTGATCAATATGTGTTCATATATCAGTATATATAATTATGTGAACTATATTTGATTAATGCATAAGTTGTAGTCATAATCATATTTCACTAATTGAGTATACTAGTGATAGCTTTACTTGGCCAAATTTTCGTCTAAACGCCACTCTTTCTTTTCAACAATATGCTGTTGAATGCTGAATTAATCTGGCAAAAATCAAATAGCCTGAAGAGTTGTCTTTTTTATACAAAACGTTATGGCAAGTTTTGCGAAGTCTGTTTTTGCATATCAGAAGAAAAAAAAAACTTACACTACACTGAAATTTTTCATATACATATAAATGGAATTTTGAATTATCAATTATTAATTAATTCTTTCATATTATTCATTTAGCAATGTCTTCTGATGTTAAGAAAACGTTGGCTACAAAACATTTTGGATTTTTGGGATCTGGTAATATGTCTCAAGCACTTGTTAAAGGATTTTTATCCTCTGGTAAGCTATATTTAATATTAGTAGTCTGTTGGGGGTGGTTTTTTCTTATGAAAAGGAAGGTCATATTATGTATTGTATAGAGGTGCTTTATGCGTAGGTGATTCGATAGTAAAATGTTCGCCAATCATTCCCGTGGTTCGTGTCCGATTCCCAGCTGATGCACTGTTAATCTTCGCTCAGCTTGTAGTAAGCCTGGAAAAGAGAGAAGATAGGGCGTGAAATTAACGGCCCAACCATAGCCACTGAAACCTGAAAGCTTGAAGATCCATATTCCATTTGGAATGTAAAGGAATGACTTGACTGAATGATTTAGTCTTCGTTTATTTTTTGATGCTAGATAACATTATTGGCTTAAAATTTTGACTAGGAATGAACTAGGAAAGTGAGTCTATACATGAAAGGGAAAAGTATTCCCGATTCATCTTCAACTAGTTTTAATCACTTTATCTCATAACCGTATACCTGATTCAACTGCATATTTATAATATAATATTTATTTGAAATCAGTTACTCAAAACAGATCTCTCGCGTAACAGGACATTAGCCACAGTTATGTGAAGGATAATAACACCACCTGGTCGCTGAAACTAGGGGGAATGGTATTCGATCCGTGTCTGGGTTCGAGTCTCAGTGGGGATCCAGGTACAACTAGTTGAAGAGTTCTAATTGGGAAAAAAGACGCATTCTGGATTTCATTACTAGCTTCCACCAACCAAGGGTCAGAATTTATTTTGCGTTAATATGCCACTGTTAGCTTATTTCTTAATAATAATAATAATGATAATAATAATAATCTGCTCTATTCCGAAAACCGTACTTATAATACAGCATGGAATTCTCAGCACTTGTCACAATATTGCATCTAATTTACTCAAAATATAAATGAAAACTAACCACAGGAATTTGCCCACATATACAGTAGCAATAAAGTGAAAAGTGTGCAAAGTACAAAATGAGAATAATAACTATTTTAAGCATTATTGTCGATACAGTATGGCAATGTTTAGCATGTTACAGAGTCTTGAATCTAATTTTCTCTTGATATAGCATAGTGAAGGGAAAAACAAAAAATAAAAATTATTATAGAGGTTAAATGATGTATGTTTACACTTATGAGAAAATAAACAGAACGAAAAATGAGAGGATTATAAATATAAGAATAATAATAACAGTAAAGCTTGATGTTATAAGGGTGGAAAAAAATGTGTTTATTTACTAGTGGTAAGGAGGTTAGTTGCTTCGTGCCTGACACTGTTTTCATCACCTAAAATATGCGCTAAATATGGTATCGTAGGATTTTTATACTTGTACGTGAGCGCATAAAGTCTTTTGAAATAACTTCTTGTTTTACCTGAGAAGACACAAGATGAAAGCTGCGGTGGATGTTGACAGTCTGACAAAATCCTTTTAGCAAATTTGTTGCATGAAATCAAGTGTCTATCAATGACGATGTCAACGATATGGCCCAATGGGATACCACTCGCCCTACTGACAGTCGTCAGAGTTCTACGAAGTATGAAATAGTCTTTTATAAGCAACCCAGGAAAGAATAAGAGTGAAGAATAGGTAAGATGCACCAGTTGACAAACTGTAAGAGAAGGGTTTGAGTTATTCCCGAGTACCTTAACTTCTTAATGTAAAAAGTCAGACTGTGGAAAAACGGTAGAATGGTCGCCGACCACGCATGTAGTCCGAGGCTCGATCCCCAGCCGCTAAGCCAGTAATAAGGCTGGTAAAGAGGGAAGGTTGGGCATGAGGCAAGCAACCCCATCCCGTAAAAATAAACACCACTGCTACTGGAACTTCAAAGCTCTGGCCTGAAGTCCTATGTTCCACACTGGGAACGTAAAGGAATAAAAAAAGACATGGGAAGACCAGAATAGATCAGACGGAAGAATTAGTCCAGAATACTTGACGTCAGACTTGATTTCTATATCAATATCATAACCAGTTTTACAGTAAATCTGGTGCAAGTAAATTCATGACATTTGTGTGTTAATTGTTCAACTGTTGTCATCTGAATATCTAGTCAACTATTTTTATAAAAATATTTTTAAAATGTTTCACACTGATTTGTATGTTCTGTTTGTCTATTGAGTTTATACAATTAATTTCGGGAATATTCTGGAGTCCCTCTGTAAATAATTTTACTGACAATCAAACAAACTTGTTAAAGCCAACGTATGTCCTGTATAATTTTTAGTAAAGTTATGTGCATTTGCTTTGATCCAATTTCCAAGGGATATAAATTCAGTTGTGAAATAGTTAGACCTCGGAACAAGTCTTTCATGTTCTAGGCTATGAGGACTGATACTACTTTTCAGTTGCTTAGCTACTGAAGTATGTGGGACAGGATTCGAACCCAGGGAGTCCCTGACTGAAAGCTGAGTACTTACGTCAATGAGCCACGTCTCCTTGAATCAGTTATGAAACAGTTGATCGTTAATTTTGTTTGATTATGACACTACACAATACAAGTTCTATTGTGACAACGAGAAGAAAAATCACCCATTTTCTGGCGAAATTTTATGTAGGTTTAGGTGATTGATTTTTTACTAACTACGGAACATCATCCTAAGGCGAAAAGAAATAGTTCCTTCTTTGATTGTCATTCATTCTTTAACTGATATCATTCTATGAAAAAAATCTACCTTCAAATGAATTATGTACAAATCATTCAACTTAATTCTAAGGTTGTAATTTCTTATCAGACCGGAAGATAATCTAGAAGAAATTCATTGAGTCTGATAAATGATATTTAGATTTTGAAATTTATAAGGATTTTGATTAGTTTTAATGTGGATTTCGTGACAAACCGGTATCAGGTATAAAATCATTAAGAACCAAATGACACTAGATAGTTATTTCGCCCTAGTTTAGCAGTCTTCAATAGTGCGCCCCCACTACATCACGACGGAATGGTCCTAGAGCCTTCAGGTTACTAGGTCAACGCATAACCATGTAGCCAGTAGGTTGGAATTCTTTGACCTGTGAATTCTAATTTCTGTCGATTCGTGATATATAGAGTGTTACCTCCAAAGGAATCTATATTTTGACCGATGATAACTTGTGAAAAGGAAGGAGAATGCGAATGAATGAATAAATGAGGTGACTTCTACTTACTTTCTCACTTTTCGTCTTATGATTAAGCATTGCCACATTGATTTTGAAAAGGCCTTCGACAGCTTCGATCGAGAGGTGATTTAGAAAATACTTTGCTACTACAGGGTGCCTCCAACAATTATACATCTCATCCAACAGTTGTACGACAATTCTGCATGCCAAGTAATCCACAACGGAAAACTCACGGAACCCTTCAAAGAAGTGAAGACGTGAGTAAGACAAGCTGGATGCATACTATCTCCAATGATTTTCCAGATTGCGGTAGGCTGGATAATGCGACAGACAGCGGGCAGCGAGGAAGGAGACATAAAATGGACCCACAGAAATAACTTGGAGGATCTGGACTTCGCTGATGATATGTGTCTGATTTCCCACAAACTGGAAGATATGCAAGCGAAAAGCAACAAGTTGGCAGAAGAAGCATCCAGCGAAGATAGGACTTCCTTCAGGTGAACATAGAGAAAACAGAGGTGATGAAGATTCCTAGCCAACAGCAACAGCAACAAAAACAGACAACAATCAGCATAAATGGGAGAAATTTGAAAGAAGTAGCCTCCTTTACCTACCTAGGAAGCATCGTTTCAACTGCAGGCGGACAGAACTGATGAGGATGTCAAAGCGAAGATCGGGAAAGCAAAGCAAGCTTTCATTACTCTCAAGTCTGTGTGGAGGTCAACAGCAATCATCATAAACATGAAAAGAAGATCCGAACTTTCAACTCCAATGTGGATCAGAGGCGTGGAGTGTCACGAAGGGCACTTCGAACAAACTACACACCTTAATCAACATCTGTCTTCGCTCAGTACTACTCAAGATCAGATGGCCGACTAGAAAAGATTAGCAATAGTGAAGGATCTATGGGAGCGAACCAACCAGGAACCGATTGTAAAACAAATATGCAGGAAGAAATGGAGGTGGATTTGCCATACTCTGAGGAAACCATCAAGTAACATCACACGCCAGGCCATCGCTAGAGTGGGACCCGAAGGGGAAGCAGCGAGCTGGTTGTCAGTGCGAGGGTGACGTGGAGGAGGTCATGTGAAGAGGAGATGAAAGCATGTGGACAGAGGTGGAGCCAGGTGAAAACGTTGGCAGAGAACCGAATGCAATAAAGACGTGTGGCTGAGGCCCCATGTTCCTCTAGGAACTAAAGGAAACAACAATAATAATAATACATATGCGATATGTTGAATAGTTGAAATTCTTTTCAAGTCACTGGATAGAGTTGTTGTCGACAACTACCTGTTAAAAATTATTATCTCTGAGACCTTCAGTGGCCTCTTGAAAGTGTATATCAAGTGGATTAAGGTAGAATATTTGTGGCGTGTGCTACTGATAAGATTTATCAGTAGTATATGTTTAAGGAGATGTTTATTGGCATAAAAACACCAAATAGCACGGAGATACATTTGATGTCAGAGAAAGCAAATGATACAGTGTTGTGGACATACATGGAAGACATGAAAGGAACACAAAGAAACACAATATGAAGGAAGGCCAGAAGTAGCACAATACGGAAGATGTATGCAAATGGTGATTTGAAGATAAGTTGTACATAATTTGGCTATATAGAGATACCAAATTGCAAATAAACATTCCTTTACGAAGTCTTTCGTCTTCTACCGTTACATATTCACCTCTCGTTATTATTCTAGACCTTTGAAGTTGAAGGTAGAAATGTTTCCCTTATTTTTAATATTCTATAGATAGATCGTAGATGATGCTTTAATTAAAACATTTACCACAGAGATAAAATACCACAGATAAAAAATAGTGACAGCTGGCCTTTTTGTAATCAATGCCCATGGATTATTACACTTCGTGTTATTTATATATTTTACGCCTTTACACTCTCAATGGAACATAGGGTTTTAAGCCAGAACTCTGAAGTTTCGGTAGCAGTGGTGTTTATTTTTACGGGATAGAATTGCTAGTCTCATGCCCTACCTTCCCTCTTTACCAGTCTTGTTACTGGCTTAGCGAGGTAAAGGAGTGCGTCGACCGGGGATCGAACTTTGAACCACATATGTAGTCAGCGAGCATTCTACTACTGTGCCACCTACACACAAACTTCCGTGTCAGGTATACTCAACCAAATTGACCTCTTTCTTTACTACTTTGTACGGATGTTATTGTGTTTTCATTGTAATACTCTTCAGGAATGGTTATTAGTTAAGCCATTCTGTTTGAGTAGACATTAATATTTCAGTGAGTTATTTTTTCTTCAATTCAAACACTTCTCCATTGCTTAATAATGACTGATCGAGTCAAGTCAGTCATCATGTTTACAAAAAGATGCTCATTGAGTATGAGTCTTGACTAAAATATTGTACACCAAGTTGTAAATATGTGTGACGATCATATCACTAACCATTATTACGTAATCTTATAATAAGTTATTTCACTTGAATTTGGATAGCTTCATTAGAAGACAAAGTTTATCTGAAAAATGTGATCTGTTTGCGCAATGCATTTCAAACAGTCTTGTCACACATTTACTTGTCAAATCAACCTATATGTGAAAAGTAAAAGGTGGTCAATTAAAATAATTAAGAAGATAAGGGACTTAAGAATAAGCTGTCATAACCAGCAGGGTCCACCAAGTCTATGACATTGGGTGGCGGTTGCGTTAAATATCTCGAATAGGCAGAAATTGGAATTCATAGGCCATTCGATCATATCCCAATGGCTTGTAACCTGGAGGTCCTGGGTTCGAACCCCTGTGGTGGTTGCGCACTGATGAAGAGTTCCAAACTAGGATGAAATGACTGTCCAGTACTCCTAGGTTTTCCAATGATTCTCTAACTTATGTAAGCCTTGGAAGGACAACAATTACCACTACTTTGGGTAATATAGTCAGATAAAGATTACTAGGGTGGGTTATAAGTAATAATAAATTGTTTTGTATATGCAGGGTGGCGGGGCGGTTGACTTAATTTTTAGAGTAGCTACCGCCTCTGCATATTTCAGCACGTGCCGCAGACTGTTTTCATGGATGATATTGAAAACCGATTTGATATTAATCTTGGGATCCACATAATAAAGTAAGTGTTTTACTGTAGACCAGGTTGGTATTCTTCCACTGGCGTTTATTGAGTTTGCAAAATTCATTTGTTTTTCAAGCCATTTGGGTATATGTTCTCGAACCCTGACATGCAAAGCTCGATTACTGCTCCATATGCATGTATGTTTGTATGGCCATGTACACATAAATTGACATACAGTATGCTATGTGACATAATCTCCTGGGTAATCTCTTGAGGCTTTTAGCAAAGTATGTTTTTGATTTCTTTTTTCCCGATCATTTTAAGCTGGGCTATTTCATCATTCTAGTCTATATTATAACCTGTTAATTAATTAACCTGTTAATATTGTTGAAACATTTTTAGGCATCATCAATGGTTCTCAAGTAACAATGACAGATCGTTATGGTTTATCATTTCCAGATGCTGAGGTATGTGTATGCTTTAAGATATAGAATACATATACATGTTTGACATTTTTATATATTTTATTCATAAGGTTATGTATCTATTCATAATTTATGCATTGTTCAGTGTTTGTATATTTATGACGGATGAGAAGTTTGAAATTTTGTTAATGTTATTACTGGATATTGTATGTAAGCATTTATCAAAAAATTCTGCTTTTCTCACGCTTACCACCGATTAAATGAGGTCTAGGAGTGCATTGGTCGGGAATCGAACCTGAACCACATGCATGGTCAGCTAAGAGTCTACCATTTCACCACCGATGCACAACTACTTATATCATTCATTCAATAGTAATTTATGGATAGTTTACTTTACTGAGAGAGAGAAAATCGATTCAGAATTTCGGGCTAATCGAAATGAAACAGATCCAGAGAAAGTAAAAGAAGTTAGTTAGTTACATTGGATACAGTGAATATGTAATACACTGGATTTTATACCACCAAGATATAGACGTATAATATAGCATTTATAGGTTCCAATACAGGCTAGAGAAGCAATAGTGCCCGGATCTGCTTCTTTTTACACACAGAAATGCGGTTGATTTAAACGACTCACAATGGCCTTTGATGTTTGAAGTTTTCGGTATTTAGAAGCCTTTGGTAGCTCATTCTGTATCCGACAGATGATAGAGAGAGAGATTTCTCAATGCTAGTTTTTGGACCCGTTTGGCCGAAGTGATCCAACAACATAGAACTGTTGATGGTTTTAACTATACCATTATATAGTCAAACTGGTAGATGTTCCCGAGCACGAAAAATTAAGTCCCTAGAGCAATGGCCAATATAACTGGCTTCAAAGGAACGGTTTAATTGATACGTTAAATTAAAGATGGCTAGCCTAGGTACTTCGTTCCTCAGTTTCAGAATCAAAACTGGTCGTGTGGAATCTATGAGTTACAGCTTACTGGCAAAAGAAACAGGTCCAGCAGTCACTGCTGCTGCCTTGGCCTGCGTGGAACCTGTCAATTCGTTGTGTTCTCTGAGCTGGTTAATTTAATCATGATTGTCAATAATCATTCATGGAGAACTTAAATAAGTTCATTTTATACTAAAACCTACGCTGAAGATGATGTCTAGAAGGGGAACGAAAGCTTCGCGACTAAATTAACCAGCTCAAAGAACACAACTAGTGAGGTCCAATTAGAAGTCACGTGTGTGGATGGATGTCCCACCAACGACAATAGTTGGGGTCGCGCTAAAATCACGAATTGGTAGAAGTTAGAATTCATGAGCCGTTGAATCGGGTCCCAGTGGCTGAATGGTATACGAGCTTGCCTTGTAACCGGAAGGTCCTGGGTTCGAATCCCAGTGGGTGCGTACTGCCGATGATTCCCAAACTAGGATGAAACAGCAGCTGTCCAGTACTCCCTGGTTTTCAATGATTCTCTAACTGATATCAGTCCGTGATCAACTCGTAAAACAACTAATTGAATATCATTCACCTGAGCTACAAATCTTCTCCATTACCTATAAATTCATAAATCCTTTGTCATTTTTCTTAATTTATCTGATATTTTGTTTAGTGTTATCTTAACGCATATTAGTGCGTTAGTGGCACAGCGGTAGAGTGCTCGCCGACCACGCATGTTGTCCGCGGATCGACCCCTGGCCGATGCAATCCTTTACCTCGATAAGCCATTAGTAAAACTGGTAAAGAGGGAAAGTTGGGCATGAAGCTAGCAACCTCATTCTGTAAAAATAAATACCACTGCTACCGAAACTTCAAGTATCTAGCTTGAAGCCCTATGTTCCACTGGAAATGTAAAGGAATATCTTACTTTCCTGACATTATGATCTGTAATAGCGTCAAGGCAGTTAACCGGTCACGATCGGAATAAGATTCGTTTGCATGTAATGTTTCTGCCTAACAATATATGCAAAACAGTGTATTCTTTTAATAACATAACATGATAGTAATTATATCATTCAAAAGTCAAAGTTTCTCTACATGAAGTAATCATAGTTTTTGTTATTATTTCTCAATTTATTTTGGAGTCAAAAGGTTAACTTTATGTTGAACAGGTCAGAAATGAATTCACGTGTATTTTACGACACAAAACTGTTTACTGTTTACATACAGTTACCCGGAAGTGATCTCTCATGCTCTGAACTATGATTCATACTGATATTGTGTAAGGACTAAAAATACCACCACCAAGTTACCCTGTCTGAAGTAGATGGAGAAGGATTCGAACCCGCGACCTGGTGACTGGAAGTTGACTGCTCAAGTCAATAAGCTATATCTCCAATGTGTGGCCCAGTGGCCTACTGGATAACATACTTACATTTAGTTTCATTAAACAATTTCTGAATGTCTTTTGATGCTATTTTTAGCTAATCAAAACTTGGAGTTGGGGTTTTGACTCCTGAATAACGTTTTCAATAAAATTAAATGGTATAATCTATCGTAATGTGTATAGTAAATTGAAACAGATGTTGGATAATAGTAGTTTGTGTTTTACTCATAAGTTCGATAAAGAAGCACTTCCAGTTGATTTTAAATTCAATATTCCTAGAAAATATGACAAAGCCGATACAGAAGCCGACCAAGTTAAAGCCAATAAAGGAAGAAATACAAAGCTGGTTGAAGTCCAAGCTAGTAGATTTCGCAAATCGTTATATACTCTTACCAACCGTACGATCTAATGTCTTCTTTAAAGAGCATCAAATAGCATTTTAGAAATCTGGTAAATAATGCGATAATCATGATATTACGAACTGAAAAGGATTCCGTTATAGTTTTAATGAACAGGGATGAATAATATGGATAAGATCTAATTCATTCAAAATGATTCATCACGATATTTAATGGACATTAAGATGAAGGATATGATAGAAGCCACAAAGAAACAGGTGACAAAGAAATTAAGTGAACTTTTAAAGGAGAAACCAATAGACTTTTCAACCTATAATGAACTGAAACCACGGGATTTGCGCCTACTGTTTGTGTATTAAATGTCAAGTGGCAAATCAAATTAATGTCATATATAGAATAATTCATAGGATGGATAGAACTTGAAAAAGGTGTGCAGTTATAAGATTAGTAGACAAATCGAATAAAATAAAAACGTTACGTAATATTGTGTGAAATTTAATAGCATAGAATTTAATGTTGCATGAAGGAATTGATTTAGAATGACAAGTAGAACAAGTGAAATAATACCGGGGATCATTTGTTTTGATTTTCCATATGTTACAGTGGGAATTTTCCATGATTTAAAAAATATTAGATTAAACACACTTCAAGTCATGGGTTGTTTTTTGGACTTTGGGTACCAGTTAGCTGTATAAGTGTACATAAGATTAGTTATAGGATTGGTATTTCACGGGGAGGGCCTAGCACACTAAAAGCAATCTTAAAAAGGCATTTTCTTCAGGCAGGTTTCTTACTGATAAACAGATTGGTAAAACGAAGTAACCCGTTAAACCAGTTACAAATCTCAAGTCACCTTTCTTCCGTATGGTGGCATATACTACTGTTTGCTTGATGTGAGTAGTTAGGCACCACTCGCACCAACTGGTAGCGCTTGCTAGGGCGGTTTCCAAAAGGAGCTGTGGTGAAATTTTATCTCGAACTGAGAACTGGAGTTTTTTCCCCCTAAGGTTACTCTACAAATCAGATGTTGAGTTATTTGATAAGTTGTTTCGCTTTTGTTGCATTTATTTTTATGGTTTATATGTTTATCTAGTTCATCGTGTCGTTAAAAAATTTATGTGCTGTAAGTCGTAAGCTTTGTAATTTGATGTTGCGTTTTGGTAGTAAATTATGATTTATTAGTTCAGTTGCGATGATTTTATTGTTAAATATTGTGGCTACTGATTTCTATATCAGTAGTATGACGCTTTTACACAAACGTTTTAACTATGATCAAGTTTTGGTGATGCATGCTCTTCTTAGTTGAGAGATTTGTCTCTTTCGCTATGAAAAATTTTCGTTTTTTCTGGTTAATTGTTTGAGTTTTGTTCTACAAAAAGTTTACTTTACAGACTTTCTTTACGGAACCTTTCCAATTATTGTAAGAATAGAAGTCACATAATATTGTTCCAGTCATTTGTACCTTTATTCTTTTGCAACATATAGTTACACGTTGTTTTCCTATCACACTCATTTTCTTGTGGTGAATTGTTCATTACGTTGTGGTTTTAGGGGAAAAGTTTTCGTTGAGGCGTAAAATCATGGTCACCATAATCAAAATAGCTGACTCTAAATCATTGGTGGCTACTGGGTAGATGTCCGGATGTGGTAATGGAGAGTTTTGGCCAATGGGATCCACCATGTCAGGGCGAAATGGATGTTCATCGGGGGCATTGGTTGGCAGTAGCGCTAAATCACGAATTGATGGAAGTTAGAATTCACGGGTCACTGAATTTCGGTTAAAATAGTTGAATGAACGGTCAACGAATTGGTATCGTAGCCTGAAGATCCTGGGTTCGATTCGTGGTAGGGTAGTTGGTACACACTGCCGAGGAGTCCCAAACTAGGACAAAACAGGTGTTTAGTAGTCTTTAGCGTTCAGTGATTCTCTAGACGATATTGATTCGTGACGAAATATGCAGTTAAATTATATCAATTTGTTTATTTGATATAGAACACAGTAATTGATTTTTACAGCCGACAACATAAAACATATTCCCAAACCACTTAAACACAGGATTGAGTAACCTGGCTTCATGCCATATAATGTCAGTTCAATTTCGTTTACCATATGATAGAAACTACTCAGTGACCTTAGTTAGAAGTAAGATCTCAGGTATTTAGTGCAGTCTTTTCATGTATTAGGTTGCGATCTACAGTTATTGTGTAAAAACTGAAGCCCAGTGAAGTTAATTACAACCAAGTCAACCCAAGTTTTACATAAATACATGATTATTGTTATTATTCCTTTGGGTTCCGAGTGAAACATAGGGCTTCAGCAACACTTCTCTACTTTGTTCTATTTTCTGATGTGCTTTGCAGCTGG